TCAAAAATTTTGGGATCTTAGCACTTCAAACTCTCGAGATTCACTCTCAAAATGGCGAAAAATGTGGAAAATTTTCGAAATTTGAAAAAACGCGAACCCAAGGAATTAAATTCCAAGCAAAGGGCTTAAAATCAAAAATTTTGGGATCTTAGCACTTCAGACTCACGGGATTCACTCTCAAAATGGCGAAAAGTGTGGAAAATTTTCGAAATTTGAAAGACGTGAATCCAAGGAATTAAATTCCAGGCAAAGGCCTTAAAGTCAAAAGCCTTGGGACCTTAGCACTTCAGACTCACGGGATTCACTCTCAAAATGGCGAAAAATGTGGAAAGTTTTCGAAATTTGAAAGAACGCGAATCCAAGGGATTAAATTCCAGCGAAAGTGCTTAAAATCAAAAACTTTGGGATTTTAGCGCTTCAAACGCACGGGCTTCACTTTCAAAATGGCGAAAAATGTGGAAAATTTTCGAAATTTGAAAAAACGCGAATCCAAGGGATTGAATCTCACGGAAAGGGCTTAAAGTCAAAAGCTTTGGGGTCTTAACGCTTCAAACTCCTGCGCCCCAATCTCAAAACGGCGACAAAATTTGGAAAATTTTCGAAATTTGAAAAACGCGAAGCCAAGGCATTGAATTTCGGGGGCAAGGGCTTAAAGTCAAAAGCTTTGGGATCTTAAGGCTTCAAACTCACGGGATTCACTCCCAAAACGACGAAAAACGTGGAAAATTATCGAAATTGGAAAAACGCGAAGCCAAGAGAGTTTTGGGATCTTAGCCCTTGACTTCAAACGCACGAGATCCAATCCCAAAACGATGGCAAAACGTGGAAAATTCTCGAAATTTGAAAACGCATATCGCTTACGTCTTTGCCTTGCTTAGTTTCTTATTTTGGGGAGGGGGGGATCCTAGTGGGAGGGATGTTGTCGGACGCTCCAAGCTAGTAAAAATATGCTGATGGATAAGTTTTGTTCTCATTTGAAAGTACCAGTATTTTTTAAGTAAAAATACTTAATACTAGGTTTAGAATGTTGGTGCTGCCTGACTGACTGTTGAAAAAAAAGTTAATTAGTGATACTCATACTAGAAAATCTGCAAGTAGTGAAGCAACTACTGATAACGATTGGAAAAAGAACGATGAAATCGAGAACGAAAAAAACTATTTAAGTAGGTCTAAGATGTCTTCTTGTCATCGGTTGCGTTGTCATCGGTGTCCCGCACCCCTCCTCGGACTTGACGCTGGATAACCTCGTTGCCCAGCTCCGGTCTCGCGATATGAAGAAACAGGAAGCCCTATTCATGTTTGTATTCAAGAACTTCATCGTCATCTGAAACTAAAGTAGAGCACTCACGAGCAGTAACGGTCGTGCTGGTGTTCTTCTGGTAAAAAAGTAGTTGTGCCAATACGTTTCTTGTAGGTCGTGCTGTAAAAGTAAAACTAGAAGTTGTAAGTAGTACTAAAATCAATCTGTGCTGTTGTAGTCTGTTGCATCCTCGTCATAAATGTATCCTTCTTCTTTTTTGTGGATTTTCTTGGCGTCGCGCAACCGAACTTGTCGCTCTGCGCCACACGCTAGCATCTCTTCTTCCCCTAGTAGTATGCGTGTCGCGCCCACCGGGCCTGGTAATGTCACGGTCGGAAGGTCTCTTTCATTAGAAGGCGATGCATGATTGATATTCTTGCAGTGATGTTGTACTTATTCTTGCATTCTACAGAGTAGAAGATTGAATTTGAATCGATTTCGATTCAACCAAACAGTAATACATAGATGACAAGGGCAAGATCGATCATTCCTATCCATTACTTAAGTATGAGTAATTGTTCGTGTTCCACTTCCGTAAGTTATATCTCTATGGAGCTCGCTCGTTGCTTGGTGCTGTCCACCACTGCGTGAAGATACTTGGTCACGCTCACGGTCTCGCTCAATCATGTTCATCATGCGGTCACCTCCTGGTCTTGCTATAATATCCATATTGTTAGATGATCTCCCTCCTCCATGTTGTCCATCGACGCCAGGCCTTGTTATATAAGAACCACTGTTGCTGATGTTCTTGTTATTTCTATCCCCACCACCTCTATGTGAAAGTTGATCCCCACCTTGTCCTTGGTGTCCCTGTCTACTGTGACTGTCTTGTCTTCCTCGTCGCAATGGAGGACCACCGCCCCGTCGCAATGGAGGACCCTGGACCTGGAGGTCCTCTTGCTTCATCGTATTCGTAGAACCATGTTGATGTTGATGGTGCGTTCTGGACATTGGTGAACTTCTAGCACTACGGTAAGAGCTTCCGTCATCACGTCCTTCTGAAATCCTTGACCCACGAAGGGAACGCGGAAGTCTTAGTACAGGTACTACATTAGACGAGTTAGAAGTATAATGAGCTCCACCAATTCCTCCCGCCCCTGTACCAGTTGCAGTTGTGGTGCCCCCCCTTTCTGAGTCGTTTGTCCTGGCTGTCATCGGCTCCTTCGTCGTTGTCGCGGTAGTAGCAGCTGCAGTGGTGGCAGA